AGACGATGTGTAATAACACTATGTAGTAATGTATAGATTTTCGAAGTTTTTGTCATTGATATGCTTGGAAATTAAAATATTTTGAAGGGACGTCTTTATTTGCACTATGTGGCTCACCTTCCATCTTGTAATCCATTCTGTTCATTTGTCTGATAATCACCAATCTGAATTCTGAATCTTTCTCAAATGATGCAGGCAAGCGACAACAATTGGTGGGAAGCGAGCTGGACGCCGCGGCGAACCCTGGCCCACTGACACGTCCACAGTGTTCAGCAGTTCAAACTGGTAAGCATATTATCGTGTCGTACGATTCCAAACATTTTGGCGCAGTTCGGCTCAGTGTAGGGACCAGATGGTGTTCGGCAAAGCTAGTTCAAGCCACCATGTGAAAAACCTGTAGATTCTCTGCAACAAAAGTGGTTCCTATTATGTCACTCCGTAGCTTCACAGGAGTTTATAAGTCCCACCAATGTTTAACCTGTTGATCAACATGGACTAGCAAGAGGGACCAGGGAAAATACAGAATGCCCTCCCAAGCCAACAGCGCCCAATTGTTGAATGGAAGTTAAGCTGTTCCTTACATAATTTACACCACTTGAAAGAACAATAACTTCACTGCTAATAAGTTGATCTTGAATGTTCAAAGAAGTGCACGATAGAAGTCTTCAAAAAATGTTGTAGTCGAGACAATTTGATTATATATTGACGTCGAGCCGTTTCTCCGCCTTATATTACCGGTAGTAAATCAGATGTGATTGATAAATAAATCCTTTTCACATGTACTGGCGCTCTAGGTTTCAGTGAAGGCTTAAAAAACTCTATTCAACAGTATGTGTCCCCTGAAACCACGCCCTCCCTGCTGCGAGATATCAAGCATATCCTGGCTCTCAAATCTGTTGTTGACCGGTAGAATGACCAGCGGTGCGCCCTCCTTCACATTTCTTCGAAACCATGGCGAGCGCTGGTACATGTGTGAACTTAACCAAGGAAAGAAATAATGAAGTGACATGCAAAAAAGGTGAACATCACTGGACTGGGAAGAGGACGTATCGGCTGAGGGTCGTTTGGCGCTAGCGCTGGCGTTTTTGCTTTATCACAGAGCTACTCTGCCTGTGTGGCGCGTCAGACGGTCAAGAGAATCGTAACATGCCGCTCTACTGCGCACGACGCTAGGCGCGGCGTTTTCTTAATTGCTGTTAGCCTATCAATTGGAGCACCGAGTTTCACATGGACGTTTCACGCAGACATTTATGGCTATCTTTGGTTCTGCTTTGCCTGTTTCGCCGTTTAATTGTAAGAACCGTCGTCATTTGCTAGCGCGATGTCTCACCCGACGCCTTGGCGAGGCAAATTACGAATCTCCTGTCACGGATCCAGCGCGTCCCATGGGATCTCTCGACACATCAGTAGCCATGTGATTGCGGCAAACGACACACCCCAGCAGCGTCGACTGAGCCTGTTCGTCTGCGTCCTCTCAATGAGATAGCGCCTTTCTCAAAAACTCAGCCTTCAGAGTGTCAGACGACCTGGGTGGGAGCGCTATGGTCTTGCCGCCGTGTGCCCCTCTCTCAATCTCAGTATCACCAAAAAATAATAATAAAGTTAACGAGGTATAATCATTTCGCTTCTTGGAAAAGTGCAGCCATTTCCTTGAATGCTGTAGTAAGATGGTTTCGGAATCGAGCGGAGTCCTGAATTACTCGGGAATAGTAATCACCTCAGTAGAAATATAAAGTACCGGAGGAACTTGCCGTGTTTTCAGCGGACTTGTAACTGGTCACATGAGCGAAAATGCCGTGGTTCCCTCCGAATCGATAGCACACACCTTCAAGTAGTAAGGATGAGAGAATGAGGTTCTGACGTCGTTTCAGTAATGATCTTACCGTAACCGTTTTTCGCTACAGCTCCAAAACAAGCGCCAGTCCACGTTCTCCATGGCTCTGTATCTTCATCTATCTGGTTAGTTACGTTGGGTACCTCAAAATAGGCGCATTCTTACGAAAGCTGCTGTTGTAAGAGAAAATAGCGCTGATATAGTTTACTTGGAGGGTAGCGCTAGCTCATGTCCGTTCTCTGTTTGCCTGCGGCCTCTATTGAACCCGCTGGCGCCGTCTCGTGGTGAGGAAGTCAACGAGCAAAAAATGGTTGCGCTCCGTTTCGCTGCCCACCTGCCCTCCGAACTAGTTCAGTGCAGAGAAAAGGAGCATTTTTTAAGTGTACCCGCTTGGCTTAGCATGCGGCGGGACACAATATACAACCCGTATCTCGGAAATGGAAAGGGCGTGGCTGAGAACTTCATTTGAACATGACGCAGTTGTTTCTCGTGGGATAATTCCATTTTGGAAGACTGCCATCCTGTGTTATGCGAACAAAGAAATGCCTTTAATTGTCCTGGAACGCCACTATCATAATAAAAGCACGTTCGCCGCCACGTATTGTTACAAAAGAACCCACATGTGAAGTAGACAAAAGCCATTGTTGTGAGATATAGTGATCCAGGAAGGGACTAGATATAAGTGTTCCTTGAGAAAGAACATACAAAACGAACAAATGTCGATCGACCGCACGGCCTACCTGAAACGTTATCAGTTTGACGTGAAAGGTACTTTTTCGAAAGTTTCACAAACAGTTCGAGCTCGAAGGACAGTTCAGGATACGCTTGCACGTCCTCGGTGAATAAGGTACTACTAGGAGGACAGTCGGCCAGTTTAGGCCGCGCCCGCCCTGTTTGACACCTTCGACTGCTGAGGGAGAAGGGATCCATATCTCCATTAGTGTGCGCCAACCACTAGGGGGGACAGTCGGCCAGTTTAGGCCGCGCCCGCCCTGTTTGTTGAGTGATTGTTTGACACCCTCGGCGGCTGAACGGGAGAAGGGATCACGTTCCCATTAGTGTGCACGCGAGTAGATGGTTGAACCGTAACGTGTCTGCCCTTCTTTCATTTACCTGATTCCTCGTTCAGGGTAAAATCGTGGAACGGAAGAATCGTAGGAATGGCTGTAAGAGCTCAGTGTAATTAAGCAATGAGAGTGTGGAGGCGGAGGCCGTGTCTGATTGTGAGTCGCTTCGGAAAGGGCCGTACTTGTCTTGTCGGGGGTTTGCCTTAATCTGAAGGGTGTGGTTAATACCTTTCCTCATGTGCGTATTGCCCAATGCCACCTCCTTTCTCTCCCCAATTTCGGCGAGATGTTCTATGGTATTGTGGGTAAGGAAAGATCCGAGTGTTCAAAGTCGCATGATTCCTCTCGTACTTATGAGCCTTCTACCATTTTCACTAAATACACATTCCCGCAATAGCCAGATGGGTGGAGAGTCGTAACCATTGTGTATTGTTCACTGGTGTGCTGTTCATTCCAACACGGTAGAAGGGAGGGGCTAGCCGATCAGGCAAGTGTAGTTCTCATTTCGTAGCCAGTGACCTATTGTTAGGATTTTCGCCCAAAGTGGCGCCAGTAGCCTTGGGGGGGTGAGAGGAGGGTCGTTCAGAGGCGTAGTTGTGCTTCTGCCCAAGCTTGAAGGGCGAAGAAGCTTTTATGTGGGCTGACCCATTTCATGTACAGTAACTCGGTTCGGATGAGGTTGGTCTCACTTTTGTACGAGTCCTTCAAGTGCTCCTTTACGGCTACTAGCCCCTCCCTTCCAAAAAAAGAGAACAATTGTAACTGTGACACTGAACTCACCATGGCCTCTCTGTTATTGTTTGTGTGAACAGCGCATGCCTTCCGTAGCTTAGCTATCTTTTCGTCCTTCTAAAAATAAAGTCCGCTCATGTGAGTACAGAAGGATATGCACAAGAGCATAGTCACTCTGGCCTTTTCATTAAGCATGGCGTAGACGAA